TATGGTCAAATTTAAGAAGAAATGTTAAATTTGTTTTACGTGTAGTATGTTTATACAACCACTGGATAGCAGTGCAAGACTGAAGTGAAGGGAGCGAGAAGCATGTCTAAGAAAAAAGGGGAGGGAGGCCCCTTGACGTGACATGGGCTGTCCCTCTTCGGTTCTCAAAATGGCGGACGCTCAGTGTGGTTTGTGCTCTTTACCATAGCATTTTTCCACACAAAGCTTTTAATAATAAATATATAAACAAGTTCTCTCTTTTTGCAGAGAAAAAATTTACACAAAGACAGGTTTCAACTGAATTTTGCAGATTTGACAAAATGGAGGATTAGGGAGCACATTTTTTGCTGAAATGGGTTGAAAACAGTTAAGAGTGCAAAAATGTGTAATTAGCTGAAAAAAGCTAAAGCTAAAATTAGCATAAATCAGCTAAATAGAAGCTGAATATACTTTAACTACCATAAATAAGCTGAAATTAGCATAAAGTTAAATGGGCTGAAAGTAGCAGAAACTACAAAAAAAAGAAAAAAAAAGCTGATCAGAAAACAGCTTAAATGAGCCCAAAGTGCTAACATGTTTGCTGAAAGGGTAGAACAAGTTTCAATTAGCATAAGAAAGCAGAAAGAACACATTTGCCTAATTAGGTTGAAAGAAGCAAAAATGGGCATAAAGTGTAAGTTATCAAAAAAAAAAAACAAAAAAGTAGCTAAATTAAAAATAAAATAAAAAAAAAAAAGCTGAAAGAAACTTAATTACCAAAATGACCAGAATGAAGTGGACTGAGCACAATTTTGCTGAATTAGCTGAATAAAGTTGAAATGAGGTAAAAAAAAATGTACAATTAGTGGAAAATGCTAAAATTAGCACAACCAACATGGACTTAAAAAAACCCAGAACTGGAAGTCTTTCAGATGAGAGATGAATTGTCTTCAAGAAAATGGAGGTTCAGTCATCTCCAAACAATCTTTATTCAAATTAGTTTCAAAAGGTTGAGTGTAATCAAAACTTAAAATCTTTAGGTTTAAAATATTAAAATGTTTGGACTACATTACCCATGATTCAATACACCAATAAACACTAATCGTTTTACCTGTAAACAAATTTAAAATCTTAAAATCACTTTTTTTTTTTTTTTTAACTTGTTGCACAGTGGCTCAGTTGGTAGTGTTGTTGCCTCTCAGCAAGCAGGTTGCTGGTTAAAATCCTGGGCCAGAACCTGTCTGGATGGAGTTTGCATGTTCTCTCCATGTTCCATGCATGTGTGGGTTTGATCCCACAGACCAAAAACATGCATGTTAGAGAGATTGTAACCTGATGCATGCTCAATAATCCAGGTAGATAAATCAAACAAGGTTGAGTCTGGTCCTCTGGACAGATTCTTCTTGATGAAACGTCTCATCTTTTATCCAAAAGACTTCTTCAGTCTGAGGAGCTGCAACAAGCTCAGTCTTATAAACAGAACCTGGATCAACCAGTTTGCCGGTGACAACCAAAACTAGATGTTTACATGCAAAAGGAGGACCATCAGCATAACAATTGATTGTTAGTGATGGCTGCTTGCTATTCACAGAGCGCAAGTATATATTGCAAGTATCGCACAACTCTGAATAGCAAGCAGCCCAAGGGTCAATTATGCCGATGGTGTGGTTATACTGTAAAAAAACATTACCAATGATCACATGCATCTTCAACTTACAAAACTACCAATTACTAATATGGAATGATTGACAAGGCCTGTTATACTTGAATCAGCATTATTCATGGATCAAATACTAAAAAGTAAAATAAACAAAAATAAATAAATAAAAACACACACACACTGGTCTGGACTATTAGTACTAAATCACATGGTTAAATGGTTATATTTAATTTTTAAAAAGGAAGGTATCCAAAACTATCTAGGCCTTAGGCCTTTTTCACTATTGTATAGGCCTTCTTAGGGGAGGGAAAAAAAAAAAAAAAACGTCTAGATTACATGATTTAACTTTTTGGTGATTTATTTACCTGGATGATCTGACTCAACCTTGTTAGTTAGTTTGTCCACATATGCTTTTAAAATGACCCGAACATAAAACCCTTGGATCATTTAACGACTATTTTGTTGCACCAATAACACAGCCTTGTTGGACTCCAAAATTAAAGAGTTTAGGATTATTATTATCATTTTTAAATGTGCTTCTATTAACTTATTTCACGGTCGAAAAACAAATAAACTATTTTCCAACCATATTCTGGACCAAAAATAAATAAATTGGAAACGCTCTTCCTTCACCTCCAGAAGCGGGCAGGTAGTGCACCGAAGACGCCACAGGTCTCAGCAGGCGCACCGTGTTGGACCCGAACTTCCGGTGCTGTTTGGGTCTGCCGTCCGGCCCGGCCGCGCTCTTGTACAAAGTGAGCATGAACTGCAGGTTCTGGTCGGCTTTCTGCTCGTCGGTGAGCGGCCGGTGGTGCGCTCCTCCTCGGTACCTGGCGCCCTGCTGGTGCTGGCTCCGCCGGCTGCGCCTCAGCGCGGGCTGATGGTGGGAGGACGTTTCCCGCCCTGCCGACGCTCCGGTGCACGTGCAACACAACAGGTAGATGAAACAGGTGAGGACGCTGACACGCAGTAGGCCCTGCTTGGCGCGGGTCGCCCTCATGTTGGTTTTATACAACCTCAGGTGCTAGCGAGCTCCACCAACGAGGCTATAGTTGGCAACCATCCATCTCCGCGTGCCCGAGGGCGTGACTTACAGGCGCACCTGACGGCTGGCCGCCATGTTGGAAGTTTCACTGCACTTCCGGCTGAAATCACCCAGCGCTCCAATTAACCGTTCGGATTTGTGGGCGGGGCTAAAGGAGCAGGATTCATTTATTATCACCCGCCACCTGAGGCCATGGTGTTTTTGAACCCCCGCCCCCCCGTCTGTACCATTTCTCATGAAACACGGAACAAATGCAAATAAAACTTCCAAAAATTAATCATTATTTTAACAAATAACTGGTAAAAATGTAGAGGCACTCTGATTCAAGATTGAGATGACAGCAAAACAATTTTAGCAAACACAATTTAGTCAAGTTGACACGCATTGAGCTAAAATTTGTTGTGGTAATAGCTGAGACTCATCTGGAATTATAGTCTGAGAAGAATTAACTGGTCATGCAAGATATGTGTGTAAAATTTTAAACCACTGCTATTGGAGTCAACCCTGTTTGTCTGTTAGCAAAATATCTCAGGAGCCACTGTACAGATTTTAATGAAACTTTTAGAAAGTAACAACTGGGTTGAGATCTACAACTGATTAACTTTTGGACTCAGCCCAAATCAAGATGGCTGCTGCAGCCTTCTGATTAAAAAAAAGCCAAAAACATAAATGACTATAATTCAGTCGGTTTTATGGATGTTGAGCTAAAAGACAGACTGGTAGTAGCCAAGACTCATTTGTAACATATACTCATGTCACAGATCAAATATTGCAATATTGCATGAAATTGTGCATAATGGTATTTTCAAGAACAGTTATACCAGCGAAACTTCTGGCTTGAAAGGTGGTGGGCAATATACGCATCTCTTCAAAGAATGCTGTTTTTACTTATATCCAACATATCAAACATACTTTTTTTTTTGTTGTCATTCTTACAATGTTTTGGGGCCAATAACTACATATGGGCATTCTAACAAACTGATCCTACCGAGGCAAGAGGAGCAAACATATAATCCCTCTCTGGAGTTCTCGTTCAGCCTGGAGGTCTCCTTCCAGTGGGACATACCCAGAAAACCTCCAGAGGCAATCATCCAGCAATTTTCTGGTAACAAACTCACTCACAGATGCATATCCGTCATGTTTTAAATATCTGAAAGATATCCACAAGATGGTGCCATAACATCAAGAACTCATAGCTGAGATTGACATAAACCATAAACAAGGTAGGTAGGGCCTACACAACTTAACTTTTTTGTAATGTATTAACTTTTTTTTTAACTAAAAACCTGTGACAATAATAATAATAATAATATTCCACCACTGCACCCTGTATTCACTGGTTAACTGGACATCATTAACTTCACGCAGACTCTCTCACTGGTACATTTTCATCTTTAAATCACTTCTTGGTCTGCTGCCTTCATACATCTCCTCCTACATGTCTCTGCGTGAGTGCAGCTACGGTGTGCGCTCTCAGGACATTATTACCTGCAGTGTTCCCTCAGTGAAGACTGAACTAGGCAAAAGGGCCTTCTCCTGCTCCGCTCCTGTTTCCTGGAATATCTTACAAAAAGATTTGACGCTCTCGACCTTGACCTCTCTAAGTGGCTTTAAGAATCTGTTGGACTCCTGGCAGGGACCAATGCAGACATGTTCCTGTTTTTAGTTTTCTACATTCGCCTTAGAATCTAGCTGTTTTTTGTTACCTTTTTCTTTTAGCCATCCTATTTTATTTGTTAAAAAAAAAAATAAAAAAAAAATAAAACCTGCAGTATGCTTTTTTATAACTGTTTATTGTTGAAGCTGTTGTCCATTGTTGTCATCTTTCTTTGTTGAAATCAGGTCTCTCTTGTAAATGAGTCCTCGAGGCTCAATGGGATTTACCTGTCTAAATAAAGGTTGAATGAATAATAATAATAATAATAATATAGTAGTGTTAGTTTTTACTTTGGTGAGTGCTATTTTCTTTAAATTTGATGAAGTACGTCAAAAAATGCAGGGATATAAATCCTGTCTATTAGACTTACTTCTAAAGTAAAAATGGATTTAAACATTTTAAGTGCAGTTTTGGAACATGTTTTTATGTTTGAATATGTTAACATCTGGGGTCTTTGAGGCTCATGTCTAAACAACAAGAGGAGATGTGTATCTTCTTCTACTTTCAGCTTATTCCTCTTCAGGGGTCTCCATAGTGAGTCATTCTCCTCCATCTCACGCTGTCCTCTGCATCTTCTGTCCTCACTCCAACTATCTTCATCCATATATCTTCTCTTTGTCTTTTTCCTGGCAGCTGCATTTCTAACATCCTTCTACCAGTATGCCCACTGTCCCTCCTCTGGACACATCCAAAGCATCTCAGTCTGGTCTCTCTAACTTTATCTCCCAGTTGTTCAACCTGTGTTGTACCTCTGATGATCTCATTCCTAATCTGATCCATCCTTGTCACTCCTAAGGAGAACCTCAACATCTTCATTTCCGCCACTTGCAGTGCTTTCTCTTGTCTTTTTGTCAATGCCACTTTCTCTTCTTTCAAGTGCATACCTCCTCATCTCCAAATATCCTGATGCATGCTCAATAATCCAGGTAGAAAAATCTAAAAAAGTTAAATCTGGTCCTTTGGACATTAAAAAAAACAACAAAAACAAAGCAAAACAACCCAATTTTTTTTAGAAACGTTTCGTCTTTCATCCGAAAGACTTCCTCAGTCTGAGGTGCTGTATTCAGCTCAGTCTCTTAAATAGCACCTTCTCAGAGTGGATCAACCAGTTTGTTGCTGACAACCAAAACCAGCTGCTCACATGATCAAGAAGGGCCATCAGCCTAACAATGGATCATTAGCACCCTGATGGCTGAGTTCATCTCCATCTCCAAGTTCTCTTCCACCTGTTCCCTGCTCTCACCACAGATCACAATGTCATCTGCAAGCATCATAGTCCACGGGGATTCCTGCCTGACCTCATCTGTTAGTCAGTTCATCACCAGAACAAACAAGAAGGGGCTCAGAGCAGATCCTTGGTGCACTCCCACCTCCACCTTGAAGATATTTGTCACTCCTACAGCACATCTCAACACTGTCCTGCTGTCCTCATACATGTCCTGTACCAGTCTAACATACTTCTTTACAACTCAAGATTTCCTCATGCAATACCACACCTCCTCCTTTGGCACCCTGTTATACATTTTTTTTCTCTCCACAAAGACACAATGGAGTTCTTTCTGACCCTCTCTGTACTTCTCCATCAGCATCCTCAAAACAAAGATGGCATCTCTGGTGCTCTTTCTTGACATGAAACCATACTGCTGCTCACAGATACCTCTCATCGAAGTCTTGCTTCCACAACGTTCTCCCAGATCTTCATCGTGTGCCTCATCAACTTAATTCTCCTGTAGTTGCTACGACTCTGTTCATCACCCTTGTTCTTAAAAATGGGCACCAGCACACTTCTTCTTCATTCCTCAGGCATTTTCTCACCCTCATATATGCCATTGAATATTTGAGTCAAAAACCTCACTGCCATCTCTCCAAGATATTTCCAAACCTCCACTGGTATGTCATCAGGTCCTACTGCCTTCCCCTTCTTCATTCTTTTTAGAGCTTTCTGGACTTCACCCTCACTAATCTTTCCCACTTCCTGGTCCAGAGATTCTGTGACCTCTGCTCTTCTTTCTCTTTCATTCTTTATATCTTTAAAGTACTCCTTCCATCTTCTCGTCACACTCTCCTCACTTGTTAGAACATTACCATTCCTATCTTTAATAAGCCTAACCTGCTGCACATCCTGTCCAGCCTCCATCTTACCAATTCATTCTCACCCTCTTTAGTGTCCAGCCTCCTATACAACTCATTATACACCTTCTGCTTTGCCTTACCTACTTCCCTCTTTGCTCTGCGTTGCATCTCCTTATATTCCTGTCTCCTCTCTTCAGTTCGCTCACTGTCATATTTCTTCTTGGCTAACCTCTTTCTTTGAATAACTTCGTGCACTTCACTATTCCACCACCAGGTTTCCTTATCATCCATTCTCTGTCTGGATGACACACCAAGTACCTTCTTACCTGTCTCTCTAATTAATGTTGCTGTAGTAGTCCAGTCATCTTGAATCTCTTTTAATCTTTTGTTGTGATGATAATGAATATGCTGTACAATGTACAAAAATAGTGTGATGTAAGAAACTTTAACTAGCTTACAGATATAACATACCTTCATTATAGCATCTGGAAGGCCTGTAGTCATCCTGGAGAGAGAAAGTTTCTCAGCCAGGGTCTTCTGAATTAGAACTTCAAGTGTGGGCAGTAAAGTCCCATAACGACAGTCACATTCTTACTCCCATATAGCTTCTGTTACTGGTATTAGCAGTCCAAATATCCACGGTAGTTGACACAAAGTCAACATCATTCAGTGCAGCTTTCAGATTTCTCTCCATCTCTGCATACTCCGTCTCCAGTGACACAGAAAAAGCTCCTCTGTGAGGCATCTGACCAACTTTTTAACTCTGCCCCATTTACTGGTTTTGCACCAAAGTCAAGTTTTTGTTGTTTGGGTGGTGTGGGACCTCCTGTCCCAGCTGTCTGCTCTGAACCACCTGGCGGGGCTTGCTCCATCAGTTTCACTGTCCCGTGCTGCGACTCCAAATGCTTCTTCAGATTTGATGTGGTGTTTTTGAACTTACACAGCACTTTGTCTCCAGCACAGAGGGAACAACGAACCTTGATATTGTCATCCTTCACTGACAGAAACTCCAAATACTTCCTGTATTTCCAGATACAAAATGTGTTTCTTCCTCCTCGCTCCATTGTTTGTGTTTCTGTCGTGGCGTGGTGTCAGGTATCACAGGTGATGAGAATGTAGTGTGTCAAGGACAGCTTTGCTGTGGACACACGGTCCCACCAAATGTAGTGAAACGTGGGAGACAGCTTACTGTACCTTCACTACTAATTAATTATTTAAATATAACGGGTTCTTTCTTTTTCGAGTTAAATTAATGCCATGTGACCGAGGTAACTGTGAGTATTGTTTAATCAGTGACAAGAGACGTTAATTTTCCTTTGACCCATCAGAATAAATGTGGTCATTTATTTAACAGAATCAAAA